ATTGAATGAATACTATTTTATTCTTTATAAATAATATGCAAATAAAATTGTTTTTATAGTAAATTATTTATATACTATTATTGCGTGATATGTGAACTTAATTACTTGAATGACGTTGATATTTTATTAAGCAGTCATTACACGTATAAATAATTTTCAATGCTATTGGGATAGCATAATGTAAATAATAATGCACTTATATTGTACTGAATTAGTACTTAAAATCAATTTTTATGAGCAAGCTGTAATTTATATGGCATGTAGTATTTTTATTTAATAATGCCTAGATAAATTCTTATAAATAACAAAATCTTGACAATAATAGTAATTACATTTTTGAAATTGTGCAATGTTACTTTTTTTTATCATACAGGTCTATTACGAATTATAATTTTAAAAGCTTTTATAATAGTTAAACAACTACTTAAATAATGCTTACATATAGCTATACTTTATTGTACTACACAATAATTCATTATTAATTAAAAAATAATTAACCAAAATAGACCATGGTCATAAACTCAATCGTACTCATAGTACTCGCAGCGGCGGATATGTTCCCGGTTTACGTTATTCCGGAAACACTCGTCAAAGTGTCGGAAATTGTGTCGATTATTGTTTCCGTAGGAATTCATTGACCCCATGAAGTCCCGATAGCAGTCCCGGTGTCCGTACCGGTTGTTCCGGTTGTTCCGGTAGTGATTGCGGTGACCAATGAGTCGGTGGTGGTGTTCCCGGTAGTGGCGGTTCGCGCACTCGTTATACCGCTCTAAGTCGCGTTCAATATACTCGCAATCACCTAGGTGCATAAATGATAATATTGTAAAACATGCATAATACTATTTTTGAACACTTAATAATAATTAATATTAGCATAAAATATAATAATATTGGGTTGTTCAAATGTTGTATTGTAATAGTAAGTTTCAAACTTTATATAAAACCAGATTTTTACTTCATATATAAAATTAACTAAATATTTAAGTATTGGTATCCAGTCTGCGGACGGATAATTATTGATAACAAATAGATTAATTAAATTTTAAGCATGTTGATATTTTATATTTTCATTTATCAATAATAATTACTTTGACTAGTTATTTATTTTTTATTAAAATTTATTAGTTGCTAAACACTGTAATAATATGCAGAATGTAACTTATGTAAATTTTAACAATTAACTTAAATTAAATTTTTAGATATTTTGTACGCCCCTAGGTAAAATTATGTTTAATACTAAAGTAATTGGGTTTAATTTAATTTTAAAAATTAAATAATAATATTGCAGAAAGTTATTATGTAAATTTTAACAATTAACTTATGTTAAATTTTTAGATATAAAGTACGCCACTGCATAAAATTATGTTTAAATTAAATTATTAAAGTAATTATGTTTAATTAATTTAAAAAATTAAATACAATTCATTACTAATATAGTGTATTGTACATTACATACTGCAAAACATGATCCTGGCCCACCTACGCTCCTCATCGCTATAATAATTATTCCAGTGGTGGTGCCAGTTATTAGCCACTATGCCCACCACATAAATCACCAAGATTATTACCAAGGACAATTGTAACCTTAACATATTTACAATGAATCAAAATAATATTTTTTAATTTTAAAAACGCTATGTCTAATTAGCATTTATATTAAAATTTTGCTAATTAGCGTAGTGCATTTTTCCAACCATTAACCGGATTTTAAATTTTGTCCAGGTGCTTATATGCAAACATAAATGTACAAAAATAATCTCATCAATAAAACAATTAGTGGTAATTATGACTAATTAAATACTAATTATTTGATAATATTTTTAACGAGATTGTTTATTATGGGAATTTATAAAATGTTTTTTATAATTGTGCAATCTTTTGCATAATGTGTTATGAACAAACAAATTATTTAATTAAAACTTATACAATGTTCAAAATGTATCAAGGTTATTTTATTTTCTGAAAAATGTTTAATTATATCTCTTAAATAATTTCTAAAATGACAATTAAAATTTAAATCTACATTTATTTGTATTTGAAATGTTAATTAGATTTTATTAGATATTTACATTTTGTCACGTTTATTTTGAATGATAGTTTTGTAATTTTAATTTATTGTATTAATATAAAAGAATTGTAATAACTATAATAAATTTACCACAAATTTTTAATGTTATTTATATTTGTGCAATGTTTTGCGAAATGTGTTATGAACAAACAAATCATTTAATTAAAAATCATGCAATGTACTGTACATTATGTACCATAGTATGTCCCAATTTAATTTTCTGACATTACTAAATTTAATTGCAAAATGATTATTAAAATTCAAATGTACATTTCTGTTTGAAATGTTATTAGCTTTTATTTGCTATTTACAATTTGTTAATAATTAAATTATAGTGATTGTGTATCACGTTTATATTGAATGATTAATTATGAAATAAAACATCAAATATTATAATATTATAATTATAATAAACTTTTCAAAATAACAAATTATTATTTATATTGATTTCTTTTATTTAATTAAAAATTAAATTTATTACTACTGTATTAGAGACAATTAAAAACATAAATACTGCTTGTATTACAATTAAATTATAACTAAAATATAATTTATAAAAAATATTTATATTTACAAGTTAGTACAAACTAGTCAATAAATTTTTAAAACTATTTTTTAAATGCCTATATTTATTTTATTATCAAGATATTAAATTATTCAAATTCATTAAAGTTAACAAATATATCAATATTAATTTATCAAAGAAAATATAATTAATACAGTTTACTATGTTTTAATTATTTTCAAAAGTATAATTTATATTGAATTAATTTAATAATTTATAAAACATTTCATATTGGACATGTAGTCAATAAAATATAGATACTACTACATTTAAAAAACATTCAGTTTTATCCAAATTATAAATCAACAAAGTACAGTAAAATTATTAATAGCATACTTAAAAAATACTGGTTATTGTTTGGTAGCGCAAAACATAGAATAAATAGCGCATGAATTTATCAAGTAAACAAATTGAATTATGGAAATTAACAAAAATTTAAATTGATATAGCTCATTCATATTCATTATTCTCGCAGCGTCTAATATGT